TCAGCCAACGACAAATGCTGGAGGGGATGTGGAGAAAGAGGAACCCTATTACACTGCTGGTGGGAATGTACACTTATACAACCACTTTGGAAAGCAGTCTGGAGGGTCCTTAGACAGCTAAAGATTGACCTCCCTTACGACCCAGTCATACCACTTCTAGGCATCTACCCTGAACAACAGGAACCAATATACAAGGACACGTGCACCTCCATGTTTATTGCAGCACTGTTCACAATAGCTAGGATATGGAAACAACCTAGGTGCCCCACCACAGATGAATGGATCCAAAAATTGTGGTATCTATACACAATGGAATATTATGCAGCCATTAGAAATGACAAAATAATGGCATTTGCAGGGAAATGGATGGAGCTAGAAGGAATCATGTTGAGCGAGGTAAGCCAAGAACGAAGAGACAAACGGTACATGGTCTCCCTCATAAGTGGATGCTAAATCCAAAAGGTTAGATGATACGACAAAACAAACAGGACTTAAGAAACAAAGAACTCCCGCTCATCTGGTTGAACCACTACTAAATATCCTCATGCTGCTGATCACAAATATGGTATATAACATGTGAACACTGTTATATATTACGGACTGTGGTAGACAATTTGCTCCAGGGAAGTTAGAATGAACTTGTGACTTTGAAATTATGTAATCATTTAATCACAATCAAAAAAAAAAAAAAAAAAAGAACCTCGGGGAAGGGAGGGAGGGAGGGGATGGTAGGGGGAAAACAATGGAGGGGGTAACAATGTTCAAGAGGAAGTGTACTCATAACCTCACTCATGTAACTGTAACCCTCTGTATAGTAGCTTTACAATAAAAAAAATTACCTTTACTCAAATGGTCTGGATATTTCTTAATATAGCCTTTCAAAATTGCATGTTACTCATGGATCTCAAAATAATTCAAAACACTCCATTTTCCTAAATGATTCCAAAACAAGTTATGGAGGGAAATGCCTTTCAAACTGAACTTTTCCAAGAAAGTTAAACTTGGGATTGTGAGAGATTTTGGCTTTTGGCCTTCTCAACATCTAGGCAGAAATTGTAAGATAAGATACTCTCACATCTTTATCAGACTGTGTGACTACATCGATTAGCTTGGTCTTGTGAGGGAAAACTAAAAATTCAAAAATATAAAGGATAAAAATAAATTGATTCTTTCTTTAATATGTTACTTTAATTTCATTTTCCTACTTTTGTCTTTTAAATTCTTCTTCCTCTGTTCAGAGTTTAGTCTACAGGACTTCCTATTATTTTTGACATTATCATTTACTTCCTGTGTTCTTTGTATTTTATTCTTTCTTAATTTTGTTAAAATATTGTTTCTACTTATTTTCTTAGTCATTTTATTACTATCTTGATTTTTCAGCCCACATACCTTAAAGAAAGTGATCCTCCAACTGGTTTGGAGTTTTATCCCAAATGTTTCTGAAGGATACTGGCTAATGCTTAGTGATCGAGAGCAAGTTAGCAACCTCTTTACACCTAGAGGGTTAGTAATGATCACGAGTGCCACTGGTTATTACTGGAAGGCCTAAGGTAAAGGCAGAGGAGAAGAAAAAAGGGAGAATAAAGGGAGTGGGGAGAAAGGAACTGAGTAAAGGAAAACAGGTGGAAAGAAGGAGGTACACGAAATAGTGTAGAAAGCTACAACAATTGCCTCAAGGATTTTTTTTTTTTTTTTTTTTAACAAAAACACTGCCTAGGTTTGGGGTTATAGCAATGAAAAGACCAATGAATAGATTTACCTTCAAAGAAATTTTAAAAAGTGCCCTGAATTACTAGTGGTTTATGGTCCTGAATTACAGACAAAGTTGATAAGCTGTAAAGGGAAAAATCCAGCCTAAATTCTAAAACCATATTTCTTTGTTTACTGAGGACTTTTGCTATTTTAATTGTAATATAGAAAATTCATTCCTACTTGTGATGTAGCTATACCCACAAAGATTACCTTGTGTTTTATGTCTCTGACAAATGTTACATATCTTAGAAAACTATCAACACTTTATAGGAAAGAAATGTAAATCAGCAGCTAGCACATCTCTTGGATTTTTAAACAATTTCACGAGAAGTCATTGGAGATTGTTTTTTGAGAAAAAAAAAGCAACATCTTTTGAATCAAAAGAATAAATGAGATTGAGCATATAATTTTACACAAATTTTCTTGAATAGATTCTACAGTAGCAGAAAAGCTCTTTTGTGATATGTAGGCTAATTTTTTGGCAACAAGGAAAACTCAGAACAATACTTTCTTTTTATGGAGTTGCTTTTACCTCTTGTAAAATCACAGAATATCATTCTCTTTGAGAGAAATTCTGCATAAAAATTTATTTTCTCCCTCTCCTATTTTATATTACAAGAATGTAAAAAACAGACTTGCTTGTCATGAGCACTTCAACTACTGTAGCTGTTTGTTCTACTTTGCAAATGAGAATTCTTAGTCATTTTATTATAGTCCTGTATGACTACAAACTATCAGGTCAAAATAGAGTTTAGTTTTTAGATGAAGAATAGAAACAAGAAGAATCAATGAAACTATGAGAAAAATAATTTTCCTTGTAAAACAATATTCATTTTCATAAATACTACAAAAGGAATCAATTTTAGAAGGTAAAATATAGTACTCATTATGAATTGGTTATCTGTATTTGGATTTTGCTTGTTTCAGAAATATTCCTGTCTAATAAGATCAAGCTAAATAAGGCACATTTAAGATAGACATCCTTAGAAAAAATACACTGGTGTAAAAAAAGACACACTAGTACAAATTACAACATAAGGTCATTCTCTCCACTATTTTATTTACACAGAATGAAGGCAATAATTCATATAAATGTTATTCTCCAGCTTTTTTGTTGATTGTTTGACAGAGAGGGTCTTGCTCTACAGCCTAGAGTGGCTTTGAACCTGTGATCCTCCTGTGTTAGCTTCCCAAGTGCTGGGATTATGGGAATGAACTCCATACCCACTTCCAAATTTTCAGAGATGTCTAAGAAAACACATCACAAAAGCAACAATAATAGGGATAGTACTATCATGTGATCATTTAAAAAATTATTGAGTGTTCTTATTTTGTGTGTGCCAGGCAATTGTCTTAAATCTTACAACTCTCTGCTGGAGTAAGTATTGTTATATTGATTGCTATTTTACAGATGAGAAAAATGAGGCTCAAAAACTTTAAGTGGTTTGTTCAAGGTTATAGAAATAAATCTAGTACTAGAACCCATATCCCCTGGGCTTTATTTGAAAGTTCCATACCTAGCCTTAACCCTTTGCTATGCTGCCTCCAATATAAAACAATAAGTAATGGTAGGATAACATGGTAACTAATAAGTGTGCTTAATTTTAAGAAAAGTATTATTTTAATGCTAGATGTGGTTGAAAAATAAAAACAAAAGCTTCATATTACCATTAAAAACAAACTGACCTTTAAGGACATATGTTTATCCTGATTTGAGTGTTATACAATGTATACATGAATTGAGACATTACATGGTATTATCTATCTATCTATCTATCTATCTATCTATCTATCTATCTATCTATCTATCTATCTATCTATCTATCTATCTATCTATCTATCTATCTTTGTACCAATCTTGGGGCTAGAACTCAGGGCCTAAGTACTAGCCTTGAGCTTTTTATGGCTAGTGCTCTACTACTTAAGCCACAGCTTCACTTCTGACTTTTTGTTGGTTAACTGGAGATAAGAGTCTTCCAGACTTTCTTTTCTAGGTTAGCTTTGAACCACAATCCAGAGTAGCTAGATACAGGTGTGAGCCACCAGCATCCAGACAGGATTTTTTTTTTGGTTGGTCGTGGGGCTTGAATCTGGGCTTGGGTGCTGACTCTGAGCAATTCAGCTCAAGGTGAGTGCTCTAGTACTTGAGCCACAGCTCTACTTCTGGTTTTCTGGTGGTTGGTTCTAGTGGTTAGTAAGAGTCTCAGGGACTTTCTGTCTGGGCTGGCTTTGAACCTCAATTCTTAGATCTTAGCCTACTAAATAGTTAGGATTATAGGCGTGAGCCCAGTGTCTGGTTCAGACAGGAAATATTTTTGAAAAATTTAAAATAACCAGGCACAGATGGCTCACACCTGTAATCCTAGCTACGCAGGAGGCTGAGATCTGAGGATCGAAGTTCAAAGCCAGCCTGGGCAGTCCGTGAGAATCTTATCTCCAATAAGCCACTCACAAAACCAGAAGTGGCGCTGTAGCTCAAGTGGTAGAGTGCTCACTTTGAGCTGAGGGATAGCTGCTAGGCTGAGTTCAAGCCCCATGACCAACCAAAAAAAAAGAAAGAAAATGTAAAATACAAGCTTAGACTGAATAATCACTAACAGAATAACAATATAATAGCATATTTTAGTATAACAATATATCACATTTTGAAAATTGCTAAGAATAGATTTCAAATATTCTCATAAGAAATAAGAATGAAAGGTAAAGTACCATAATTAGCTTAATAAAACCACAGCAAAATGTATACTTATTTGTATGGAAAAGCAAAAAAAATCTATGAAAAGTTTCTAAGCAATTTAGTTACATTTTGATCTTGAGTTCTTAAGGTTAGACTGTAGGCAGGCAAATACTATTTAATATTTGCTTTTAAACTTCATGCAATATCAGGCAACTCTGCGGGCATGATCTGCCAGTACCATCTGGGGTTCCAGAGCTTTAAAATATGGCATCTGTGAGAGAATTAGAGGTTTTCACGCTTGCATTCATCAAGCCCTTTACGAATGTCTGAGTTTAAAGCAAGAGAACAGATTGCTTCAATTATTCCCTGTGTTGGGAAACTCTTCATTTCCCCAATCCCCTGCTGGGATCATATAGATGTTTTCAATTAGAAAACATCTGGAAAACTTCCAGACCTGGGCTCTGTCTTGTTATATCATAAGTGTAGGTGCCAAAAGGAGGAAGAAAAAAACTTAGTATGAGTCTGATGGTAGTGAAGAATATTTATTTGTGAAGAAAATTAAAACATTTACCTCGGACAGCATAGCCATCTTTTACTGATGCTGGAAATGGGGGTAGGTTGTCTTTTGCATATACATCTTGAGCAAGGACTCGACCCATTCCATCTGAAAGAAAAGGAAGAAGTGTGAGGGCAGTTGAGTAGGCAAATAGTCATAAAGAACATAGATATGAGTGCTTGTATGGCACAGCTTATAAAGGGCTCAGCCAGACCTCTTGTCCCAAAGAATAGAAGACAGAAAAGATGCATCCTGGTGCTTAAAATAAAAGATTACATACAATCAATGCATGATAGTGCTTACAGAAATTATCCAGAGTAGTTACACTGTCAACCAAGATGCGTTCACAAGATGTGTTATTAATCCTTTAACAACTTAAGTATGATTTTCCTTAAAAGCAAAGCCAAATCTTAAACACTGTCATATTTACTGACCTAGTAATTTCTCTTGTAGAAATTAAGAAAATACATTTATCTTTATCACATGTTTATTTCAGAGTTGGGTACATTACTAAAAAATGAAAAGAGACTCCAGATCAATAATATAAATATTTAAATGACCTATCCTTATGATGAACTATCTTGCAGGTGAAAGTGCTATTTATGAAGAATGTTCATGGACAAAGGAAAAATTTTAAACATATTTTAAAACATGAAAAATTACAGTGTATAATCTTTACTATATTAATATTTACATACCAATAAAAAGACAAAAATGATTTATTTGAAAATTAAAAAATGTATTTGCTTTAAATTTTCTGAATATTAGAATTATGATTTTTATTCTGAGAAAATCAAACCAATACAATAAAAAATAATGGCTTCCACAGAACACTTAAAAGCATATTTTTTCCTTCAAAGAAAGTTGATTTCACAGATTTTTTAGGTAACAAACGACTTACCTACTCTTCAAACTTTAAAATATACAAACTTTTGACTTTATAAAAACCAAGTTGTAATGGTTGAAAAAAGTGTTGTGTTGGGGGAGGGAAGGGATAGTAGACGAAAAACAAAGTAGGAAAGGAGGGGGTAACAATGCTCAACAAGAAATGTACTTATTACCTTACCCGTGTAACTGTAACCCCTCTGTACAGCATTTTTTTAAAAAGTGTTGTGTTGTCCAACAACTGATCTCAGGGCATTTTCTATCAACAGATTTTTTTTTTTAGTAACCATACATTTCCTTTCCAATACTAAATGAATTCTGGACACTTCAGTATATTATAGCATTTCAAATGAGATCACACATGGCTGGTAGCATGACTTAATCTTAGCAATGGGTACATACTCATTCATGCATGCACACATGTGCACACATGCACTATCCTTAGTCATGAACCTCTTGAAAACAACTCCATCTGTGGCACAGCAGTAGTAGAATGAGATCACATGAGAATATGACACAAATGTTAACAGTATGTCACAGCCTGAGAACTCTGCTTTAGCACCTTTAAGATCATTGCCTTTATGGAAATGAGTGGGGAGCCTTGTTTCTGATGTCAGAGGCTGGTATTCAGTTAGTAAGAGAAGCTGAGAAGCTCTTGGCAGTGAAAGACACTAGTCTGCATAGCACTAAATGGCCATCATCTATCTATCTATCTATCTATCTATCTATCTATCTATCTATCTATCTATCTATCTATCTATCTATCTCTCTATCTATCTATAATTTAAAAGTTTTCATATTATTTTTGTCTGGCAGAGATCTCTCTTGTTTTAAGCTCGATTATTTGTAGACATTCCTCAATTTGTGTTACATATACTTTAAAGAAAGATTTTTATTAGTATATATTACTTGTATAAGGGGGTTTCATTGTGACATATCTACACATGCATACACACACACCCATTATATCATTCTTCCTCAATTCTCCCCCTCTCTTAAAACAATTTCAACATTTACCCTAATTCACACTCTTAATTACTCCCCACTTGCTGGTACCTGTGCCAGTATAGAGCTTATTTCATTTTCCTATAATTCACTTTTTTTCTTTTTTAATATATTAACTGTACAAGGAAGTTTCACCATGGTATTGCACACATAAATATACTATAACTTAATAAGATTAACCTCTCTTTATATGTCTTCCCTCCCCACTCATTGTTCATCAGTTTTCAGTGTGATTCCTTATCATCCTTACACAAATAAACAATGCATTTCAATATTATCCATCCTCTTTCCCTTCCCACTTCCCATTGCTTCCCCCACATGATGTTCTCTAGTTCCATCCTCTTTCCTAAAAATCACTTGATTTTTCTTTATATGTGTGTGTGTGTATGTGTATGTGTGCGTGCATTTATTTACTTATTTATTTTTTGTCGGCCGTGGGGCTTGAACTCTGAGCTTGGGTGCTGTCCTTGCACTCTTCAGCTAAAGGTGAGCGCTTTACCGCTTGAGCCACAGCACCACTTCCGGTTTTCTAGTGGTTTATTGGAGATAAGAGTCTCGAGGACTTTCTTGCACAGGCTGGCTTTGAACCACAATCCTCAGATCTCAGCCTCCTGAGAGGTGTTGGTGTGTGCGTGTGTGTGTTTATTATCAAGGTAATGTACCTCCAGAGGGGTTACAGTTGCTAGTTCCATCCTCTTTCCTAAAAACCATTTCATTTTTCTGTATACACACACACACACACATTTGTTGTCAAGGTGATGTACCTCTAGAAGGGTTATAGTTGTATAAATAAGGTAATAAGTACACTTCTTGTCAAACTTGTTTTTTTATGGCTGTATAATATTCCATGATATATATGTACTGCATTTTCTTTATCTAGTCAGTGTTAGCTGGACACATAATCAATAGAAAAATAAAAACCTTCCATTCATAAACAGCAGCTAAATGATCTCATGACCATTAAATCAGCACTGCAGAAGATATTTGAAGAAATCCTACACACATACGACAAATGAAAACAGAACAATACAGGACAGAATAAATCTCACTAACTGAATAAGTTAGTAAAGGAGGAATAGGAAACAAGTAAATTTCATAAAGCAACAAAAGGATAGGAAATATGACATACCTTCCAATATTAACACTGAAAATTAATGGTTTCAACCCTTTCATCAAAAGACATAAAACAGCAAACTGGATTAAAAAAAGCAAGATCCAACCATTTCTTGCCTAAAAGAAACACGTATTATTGACAAAGACAAATACAGGCTGAGGACGAAGGATGAAAAAAAGATTTTCTAAGCAAATGGACCCTGAAGACAGGCAGGAATAGCTGTACTTATGTAAGATAAAAACAGGCTTAAAAAAAAAAAAACTAGTCAAGAAAGATAAAGGTCACTTCATATTAAAAGTGGAACAATCTATCAAGAAGAAATAAAAGTTGTTAACATATATGCACCAAATATTGGGGCTCAGGATCTGGGAAGGTGGCTTAGTGGTAGATCGCTTGCCTTGCATGCATGAGGCCCTGGGTTCGATTCCCCAGCACCACATAAGCAAAAAGAAAAAAAGCCAGAAGTGGTGCTGTGGCTCAAGTGGTAGAGCGTTAGCCTTGAGCTGAATTGCTGAGGGACAGCGCCCAGGCCCAGAGTTCAGGCCCCACAACCGGACCCAAAACAACAACAACAACAACAACAACAAATATTGGGACTCTCAAGTTTATTTAACAAATATTTCTGGACTTAGAATGACTGCTCAATAATAGTGGGAGACATTGCAACATATCATCATTTTAGTGTGTGGAATATTAAGGCAAAACAGTTAAAAAATATCTTTTTTTTTTTTTTTGCCAGTCCTGGGGCTTGAACTCTGGATCTGGGCACTGTCCCTGAGCTCCTTTTGCTCAAGGGTAGCACTCTACCACTTGAGGTGCAGCGCCACTTCTGGCTTTTTCTATTTATGTGGACTAAGGAATTGAACCCAGGGCTTCATGCATGCTCGGCAAGCACTGTATCACTAAGCCACATTCCTAGCCCTCTAAAATGTTTTTAAAGTCCTAGAAAATGCTTAAATTGTCATTGTTCGTTTTAGTGTTTAATGATCAACTAATAAAATTAATTAATTAATTGCAATACTCAGGTCAAATGAGTGTCACTGATGAATGAGTGTCATACTAAGTCCAAGATGAGAATTTTCCTGTCAGGATTTGGTATAAACAAACAAAAAAGTCAAAATGGTCATTCTGTAACTTCAATCTGTACTTTTTAAATGATAATCTCTTAAATAGCTGTCCTGTAAATTGTCCCATGTTTCAATGTGCACTTAATTCTTATAACTTTTATAATTTTGGGTCATGAAGTCTGGTACTCTAAAAATTTCCCAACTTCTCCCACACTGATTGATCTTGTTAGGATATTACTGTGATTATTAAAAAAAAGGAGAGATCTCTTTTTGGGAATTCCCATAATTGCAGGAAGAAGGGATTCTGATGCTATTTCTTCTTAAATAATTTGTTTTCTTTCCATTTTAAATGCAAAATGCTTTATTGTTTATGCTCTGAAACCAACTCAATTAATAGAAATTATGGCACTTCAAAAGAAATATGAAAAGATTGTTAAATATACTATATTAAATGATACATGTATATTGAAAATTTGAAAACATAAAAGGTACTTACAAAGAATGGAAAAAGTAAGTAACATTTTTAAAGACTGTATATTGTATGTGTGTATGCTAGTACCAGGGGCTCGAACTCAGAGTCTTACATACTCACTTTTCTTGCTCATTGCTAGTACTGATCTATCACTTGAGACATGCCTCCAAGCTCTGCTATTTTGCTGGTTAATTGGAGATAAAGTCTGATAGACTTTTCTGCCTGGGCTAGTTTTGAACCATGATCCTCCAGGTCTCAGCTTCTTGAATAACTATGATTGTAAACGTGAGCACCAGTGGTTCATTTCTATAAGCATAGATATATTCAATAAAAGCTGTGTGCATCAACTTTAAAAAGCTTATTGAAAAATTAATTCAGTTACATTTACTTTTCTGAGACAGGGTCTTGCTATGTAGCATAGGCTGGCTTCAACTTCATATATAGCTCAGACTGGCCTTGAACTCACAATCTCCCTGCCTTGCCTCCTAAGTCCTGGGATGACAGCTCTGGGCCACTACAAACAACTTCCCCTCATTATTTTAAATGTGAACTAAGTTCCATCAAA